AATAATACCACTGCCCTTTAGTTTCTTGAAAGGCAATGTTCAGCATATTTATCCATTCCAGAAAATACAGAAAACTTAAGAATTATCACCATAATTTTCATTTAATACGTGACTAAATAGTAGGCTCTGACTATAATTAATTAATTCATTTCAAATCTATTACAAAGATGTTAAATGTTATTGGCATGTTTATTCTTTTCTAAAAAGCCAAACACATTGTCACAGCCTCAAGGACAGAGTCAAACTGCCAATTAGGACTTCTGAGACTGTAGTCCTTCCAGAAACAGGACCAAATCTCTCCTATGCAGCAGCCATGAACTTGAACAGCCAACCTTAGTTACAGGCTAAAGCATGACCACAACGCCACCAAGATTCCTTGTAATATTTCTATGGAGGGTCAGCTATAAGATGATCTGACTTGATGACAAAGAAAGGGAGATAGGGAGAGAGATTTTATGTCAATCTTTTTTGTGATTTACTGGTTTTAAAGTTTAAGAGCTCTGAGCATGTGCAGCAAAATAGCTTCACATTGCCCTCTTGTGGTGTGTTCGTGAATGACACTTTTGCTTCTGTATGGAGAAAAAGCCCTCATTCTCTTTTGTGTCCCATTCGTTCAGGAGACATGTTAACTCTTCCCTACACAAACAAAACTGATGCCACCACCACGATATACAAAAGATATCAAGGAAATTCAGTCCCCTTTCCACTGGTTTATCAGTAACTAAGTGACAGGTTTATTGTTCATCACTTGTCTGTTTGTTATGCTGTGGTGGCTTGTGTATTACTGTGATGTTGGAAGCAATGCCGCTGGTATGACAAACAGCAGTAGAGTCACTCCCAAGTCACAGGTTTTAGAAGAGCTTCTGTGGAAGATAAACTAGGGAAAGGACCTCCTGGTCTGCTTCTGACAATAATACTGGTCAGTAAATGCCTTAGGAGTCACAGGGGATGATTGTCTGATCCTGTTCTAGAAGACCAGTTAGATTGGAAGGCACTCAAAAGACCTCTGTGGAGGAAAACTGCCTTCTCAATGTAGAGTCTCCATCAGTGAGGTGGACAAAGCATCCAGGACTTTCAGTTGCTAATGTGGCATGACTTGAAATGAGAAGAGAGAGCTGCAAACGTCCATTAAGAATCAGAGCATGGCATGCAGGAAGTGTGGGCCTGTAAGAATTGGAAGTTGTTAAAAATTAAATGGAACACATGAAAATTGATATTGCAGGCATGAGAGAGCTGCAATGGACCAATAGTATTCATTGTGAATTGGACAAACTTGAATGGTCTACTATGTTCAGAGTGACAAAATAAAGAAGAGGAATGTCATAGTCTCAGTGTTAGCCACGCCAATAAAACACAAATAGGCATCCTTGTGGGCCTCTCTGCTCTCAGCCAGGATCCACTCAATGGCCTTTAACAACAACAACAACAACAATGTCATATACATTAAAAAGAACATTTCAAGATCTATCCTGAAGTACAATTCATAATTGCTATCAGCAATATGAAGTGTCTGTTAACGTGGCAATCATTAAAATACATACAATAATCACTAAAGGGGGCTTTGGCGGCCAGTGGTAAGGAGCTGCGCTGCCAACCTAAAGGCATATGGATCAAATTCACTAGCTACTCCACAGGAGAAAGATGGACAATCTCCTTCTCCGTGACTTACTGCCCCTGAAAACTTGCTGGAAAATCAAGTAAGAGTCGGTCTCACCTGACAATACATTAAGAAATCCCAAACACACACAGCAATTGCTGAAGGCAATTTAAAATAACTTTTTAAAGAAATTTAATACTTTCACCAACTTTTGTGCCTGAAATTGAGCAGACATGCTATCCAGATGTATTGGTAATTACTGATGATTAGAATGCAAAATCTGGAAAATAAGAAAAAGGATCAGTAATAGGGAAAGATAAAAACTTGATGGCAGAAACCATGTTGGAGATGTCATGGTAGAAATGTCCAAGGCCAATGACTTATTCATTGCAAATACTTTTTAACATCATAAATGGCAACAATACACATGGACATCACCAGAAGCAATACAGGGTGTTGAATCACATGTGCATCTGTCGTGCGCTTGTCATTATCTGTGAGATGAGCCCCTCAATACCGTCAGTCAACACAAGACCAGGGGCAACTCTGGAACACACCAACATTGTTTACCTGCTCGCACTATTTGAAACTGAAGGAAATGACAAACAATTCTACAACAGCCAATGTAAGACCTTCAATATATCCTAAAATCTAGAGACCGTTTCAAGACACTTTTGATGCATTTAACACTAATGAATAAAGTCCAGATGACTTGTAGTATGACATCGGGAGTATCATAGAGAATGTAAAAGGTCATTAAAAAGGCAAGAAACAAAGAAACGACCAAACTAGATGTTATAAGACATTCTGAAACTTGCTGTAAAACGCACAGAATCTAAAATGTATGATACATAAAACAATACAAAGAGCCTAACAGTAATTTTCAAAAGACAGTTTGAGACAACAAAAACAATATTATAAAGAAACGTCCAAAAATCTAGAGTTTGAAGAGTGTTGAATATACCATGGACTGCTAAGAGAACAAAGAGGTTTGTCCTGGAGAGGGTGAAGCCAGAATGTTCCCTGGAGTCAAGGATTCTGAAGCTTCGTCTGACATACTTTGGGCATGTTGCAAGGAGGGACTGGTCCTTGGAGAGGGACATCAGGTTTGGGAGAGTGGAGGGGTGGCGCAGGAGAGGAAGACCCTCGATGAGATGGATCAATTCTGTGGCTGGAGTGGTGGGAATGAATGTGTTTGAGACGGTGAGGTTGGCACAGGATAGAACGGCGTTTAGGGCTCTTGTACATAGGGTCGCTATGAGTCGCAAATGACTCGATGGCACATAACAACAACAACAACAAGAAATGAAGAACATGCTCAGCATTTTTCAAGCTGAAAGAACGGAAGAAATACATCAAGTTCAAGTTACAATATTGAAATGTGGCTAAGATATTTAATCACACAGGAAGGAAGGAAGGAAGGGAGCGTGGAAGGAATGAACAGAATCATTGCACAAAAAAAAGTAGCAATATTTTAGGAGAAAATATATGATTAAGTACCAATTTTATTTGAGGAAGAAGTCTAAATCGCACTACAGGTAGAAGAGAACCCAAAACTCCAAGAAATAGGATACCAAGTGTGGTGCTTCAACAAGTGCATGCAACACTTGCGGAACTTGCTCACCGATGACAAAAAAATAGAAAGATGATTATTTAGCCAAGCCAGTGAAAGAGATCCCTGCTTATGTCTATCTCAAAGAAAAGTAATTAAAATGTAGAGATTACTGAATAATATTATTATCATTTCTTGTAATACTGAAACATTATTTCAACAGTACATCAACAGGGAATTCTCAGTAATACAAGCTGAATTCAGAAGTAGGGAACCCAGGAGTATCGTGCTAACATCAGAATGGGTTTTGAAAGCAGAAAACACTAGAAAGATGTTTACTTGAGTTGTGTTTATAGTGATACCTCCTTGGATCATAATAAACAATACATAGTATTACAAGGAATGGAAATTCTAGAACAGTTAATTATTCTCATGCAGAGACAATCATCTAAGTACAGTTAAAGGATACTCAAGGGTTTAAAATCAAGAAATATATGAGCTTGTCTTGTTGCCTTTCATCATATTGTTTCAATCTCTGTGCTGAATAAGTAATCTGAGAGCCTGAAGCACACAAAAGGGAAGTGGTTTCACACTGAAGGAAGAATCTGACTGTGACATGGATAACTCAACCTTACATGGTAAAACCAAAGAGGACTTGAAACCCTTATTGATGAAGATCAAAGCCTACAATTTTAATAGGAATGATTCTGTAACATAATGCTAAAAACATTTCTGGAACAATAAGGAAGATCATAATATACAGAAAGAATTGATCCTGTCAGGGAGTTCGGTTTACTTGGATCTACAACCAATGTCCAGCAGCTGTCAAGAAATCAAATGGTGTACTTGCATTGGAAAAGTATCCTGGAAAATAGCTCTTTAAGGTGTTAAAAAGAAAAACTATTGCACAATGATGACAAGAACATGGATAGGAGAGAAGAAAACCCAGTACTGGTGATGATTGTCCAACGTGATTAATATAATTGATTCCTGATTCAGACCATGGTCTTTTCAATTTCTTGCAATGCATCTGAGAGCTAGAGAATGAATTAGGGTGACAGAGAATTGGTGCCTTTGAGTTGTGGTGTTGGAGAAGAGCACTGACTATCTCATGGACTGCCAGAAGAATGAACAGGTCTTTTGCAAAGGTGCAGTCACAGTGCTGCATATAAACACACATACATTTGTCTGAGCTCTGGTGGTCTAGTGGCAAGAAACTGTGCTGCAATTTCAAAGGCTTGTAGTTCGAGGCCACCAGCTTCTCCACGGGAGAAGGAGGAACAATCTCCTCCTGTGTGATTAATTGCCTCGGAACACTCGTCAGGGGGTCAGCTATGAGTCAATTCTGACTTGACAGTCCAAAGCAAAATATATTTCACTGGTATCTATATTTACTGTCTCTAACTTGGTCAGATTCACTTTCCACAGACACCTTGCTGGGCATTTTAAGGCTGTTCTGTTCTCTGAATTAATCCCTCCATTTTTCTCCCCTTGTACAGATTGGGATAACATGCTGCGTAACATCAAAGCTGTTGATGGTCTATCCACACCCGTTGTATTTTGGGGTCAGAAAGTGTACCTTCTCACTTAGTTTTTTTAGACATGTTGTCCATATGCCTCTAATTTTTTATCTTGTTCCTCAGTGTTTTTCACTTGTGGGGAAACAGGAAGATTAGAAGCTACTTCTGCTGTTAGTAGAGTCATCTCTTTTCCAGAAGTCAACTCACTTCTAAAATCAACTGTTTACTTAATAGCTTAGATTAAATTTTTTTCAGGAAAATATTTATCGTGAGAAGTTCAGCACACTGAATAAATCAATGTTTTCATTTTGTTGCTGTTTGTGTTCTCCAGAGTCAAGTTCGCATTATGTAATCTCCCTGAAAGCTTTTAACAACGCGGGGGAAGGAGTGCCTCTTTATGAAAGTGCCACCACTAGATCGATCACAGGTGAGTTATGCGGCTAACCCTCTTGTGACAAGGCTATCCGTGAACTTGAGGTATGGTGAACAATGAAAACAACTTAGTGCAAAATAAAACACAAAGACGAAAAGCAGTAGGAAGCTAAGTCATGTCTTGAGGCTTCCTTCACCTCTTGAGTTTTACAAACCTAAATGCCAGGAGTCCCAGGATTTCCGGAACATGGATACCTTTGTTCCTTCTACTCACAGCCACGTCATATGCTTGATATCCTAACATCACTCTTTCCACTGTGAGCAGCTTGTTTCACATCGGTGAAATGTGGGCGGGGAGAGTGTCAGCAAAATGACTGAGAAATGCTCAAGTGCAAGCTCGCTTCTCCACAGAGGGCTCTTCTGGGTGAGGCAACAAGGAGGAGCTGCATTTCTGACTGAGATTGCTTCAGATGAGGCTGAGTCACACAGGCATCTTGGTGCCCCTCCTACTGAGGCTTAGTTAGACCCAGGGGCACGAAAGGATAGATTGCCACAAGGCCTGATCACCACTAAGCCTCCTTTCTCTGAACTGGACTGTGCCTACAGGCAGTACATGAGAGGAGAAGAGCTCATGGGAGTGAGACTGGATAGGTTAGAAGGTCAAAGTCAAGTTATCCACGGAAGCCATTTATTTGCAAATCTGAGCTTATTGCAAGAGAGAATAAGAAAGACTTCTGTATTGCTATATCGGGTTACTGTAAATGCACTGACCAGCCTCCATCCAGAATTCCATCTGAAATACAGGAGCAAGTAACAGAGACCCATCTCTTTAATTAAGGCTTTAATCCAATCACTTCCCAAAATCGACAACCCTCAGACTTCATTTAATATACGAGCTATTTTATTCTTAATGAGACAAAAAAAAAGACCACATTAGAAAGAAAATACAATTTAAAAGTAAAGACTAGAGAAAATGAAAGTATCGTAGGCTTATCTGTAATAAATTTTTATTGTGTTGTTTTTATTGTTGTTATGTGCCATTGAGTCACCTGCGACCCTATGTACAACAGCTCTGAACCCTGCCCTGTCCTGAGCCACCAAATCAGATACAAATCTTGAGAAATGGAAAGAAATGGACATAAAATAAAGAGTGGGGCACTTATGTTTTCATCATGGTTCAAATCTACATGGACTTGGTGCAGTTTGTTCTCAAAATCCACAAGATGCATCACCAAACTGTCTTGAGAATGCCGTTTTGTGAATTTAGCCTTTGATTTCCATTGAGTGTCACTGCCCTATTGATGTCAACCAGATATTCTTGTAAGGTAAAGTATTTTAGAGTCTCCTTGAATTCTAGAATATTCTTGAATCCTTGGCTATTGGGTTTGAGATCCATAATATGTCTAAAGAGACATGGAAAAAAATGGAATACAAGTCAATAAATACATTTATCGGTGGAGAAAGTATCTATCTTTCATTGGATTATCAATGGATTTATGACCCCCTCCAAAGAGTAAGAAATATTGCTGTAGAGAAATTTTGCTATTAAGCCTTCTGTGACCAAATACAGAGCTATGAAGCCCTGAATGGAAACTTTATAATATAATGGGTGAATATCCAGTATTTTCACTTCCCTTTTCTCTCATTGATCCATGAAGTTATTTGAAAGATGATGAAATGCTTTAACTGTGCCAGAGTTTCCTATAAGTTTCATTCATTATGATATTTCTTCCCTGCATCTCATGATGCATACTGACTTTGAGCTTGTCATTAGATTATATAAAAGAAGAGTTACTGGGGAAAAAATAGTTTCTGACCAGGCTTTATCTTTTTAAGTCTTATTCACTTGCCAAAACAAAATCCACAGGTAGAGGTAAACAACAACAACGACAACAAAAAAAGAGTATTTAAGCAGACATCAGTGGGGGTATAGATGTTGTTGTTATTGTTTGCTCTCAAGTTGGAACCGACCCAGAGCTGACCCTCCAGCAGGTTCTCAGAGGCAATGAATTGCATGGGAAGAGATTGCCCGACCTCCCGAGTCATATAGATTGAGAAGCTCAAATAAGCTGAACGTATATTGCTTCGAAAGAACCACTGGAAGCCATAGCCACTTCGTTCCCCTTAGCACTTGGTGCCATTATTCCTCAGCATTTTTTCATGCCCAGAATGAAGTCTAAAATGTCAGTGATTTACTAGATATTTGTTTAATGATCTCATAAAAACTTTATCCACGGGAGCCGAGAAGTGAAATAATGGCCAAAGTTGGAAATTGTTTGAGTTGGAAATTACTTTTTACAAAATTAAGCAAGACATTGGAGAGGAATTAATTAAACTACATCTTTCCTTCTTCAAACAAAAAGGGGGGGTAGCTCATAGTTTTATTAGGGGCAGAAGAATTGCTAGATTGTGTTTCTACATGTCACGAAGAACAATGGATGAATGCAATCAGAGGTAATGTTCAAGAAGAACTCAATGGATGTCTTGTACTGCCATGTGGAAGACAATCTCTGTTTCTGAACTCCTGCAGTGTATTCCCATGAGAAACCTTGGGAAAAAGTCAGTGGAAAGTAAATGAAAAAATGTATCAGAGACAATGAATGCAGAGAGCTAGAGGACACCTTGGACTCTCGTGTTGTCCACACGCATATGCTACTAGTCATGGGTGAACTATGGAGCCCTTTCTTCTACTAAGTGTTGGCATTTTGAGCTACTGAAAGGTTCATCAGGCCAAGTGGGTTAAAAATTTTATTGTTGCTGTAAAGATTTTCACTTCTTGTTATTGTGAGAATCCCACATTTGGGCTCAGAAAAGAAAATCATGAGGTTTGTTCTTGGAATTTGTTTATCCTCAAATGTCCTATATATGCTTTAATGTGTAAAGTCTTATTATTTGTAGAGCCCAATACGAAATTTAATACATCAACTAAAAATTTGTCAACATTCACCTAAACATCTATTGATAATTGACCAGATTTTTATTTTTTAGCGAAAGATGTGTGGTTGTTTCTGCTCTGTTTTAGGGTGGTTTTGGTTTTTCTGTTTGTTTGGTTAATTTTTTTTTCATCTTTGTTTTGTTCTGCTTTACTCTTTTGAACATAAATGCTGAAAGTCAGCATGCAGCAGGAGAAATGTCAGAATTAGTGAGACTGACTCAAGACAGGGGAGGGATCAGAGTAACTGTACATATGGTTGCTATACATTGCAGGAAACTCAATGGCACATAACAACAATAACATACTATGCCAGATTTGGAAGCAGGAGTGGCATCCACTTCCTAAATAACATGCCTCTGGAAACTCTATGAACTTTGATAAATGTCAATACTTGTAGAGGAGCTTCAGGTCTTTTGTTCATAGGGTTGCTCTGAGTTGTGTTCAACTCGAAGGCAATCAACAACAACTAAAAAGGGATTTTTTAGTAAAATAAGAAGTCCTTTCATCCAATAATGACTCAAGTAATTTCTGACCTGAAAGAAAGCAATCAAGTATATAGCATAAAGTTATACTCAGATCAGCACTGTCAATGAGAATGTTCTGCTCTGAGGGAAATATTCTCTTTCAGTACCGTTCAATGCCATTGGCACTAGCCATTTGTGGCTACAGTACACTTGAATTTGGCTAGCAACAGGGATACTGAAAATTTAATTCCTATTAATTTAAATTTAAATAGCTCATGTAGCTGTTACGTTATACAGCAAAGCTCTGCAGGCTGTGGTAAATACAAAATCACCTGCTCTTTAAAAATATTATTTCAGGAAATAGACAGGAGACCACTAGCCAAGGGTGGAAATTTTGGAATTAACTTAGTCCATAGATAAATACCAACAGACAGCTTTGCCTGGAATTTGAAGAGAGCATTCTGAAATTGACTCCAACATAAAAATAAATGACTCATTATGCAAAGTACACTATTCTAAATTGCAAGATAGTCGTCTAGACTACCGCCATTTCTTGAAATATAAACTCTACTTTTTTAAAATTTTCTGCTCAGTAGCTGTGAAAGACTAAAAAATTAATGTGCATTTATCAACAGAACCATACTACGGTGAGAAAGAACAGATATGGGAACTCACAGGAAAAAAGCTGTTGCTTTTGAGTCTATTTCAACTGAGAGCTACACTATGGTCAGAGTAAAACTGCCCTGGATTTTCCTCTGAACCTGGTGAAGCACATTGTCAGATCAGTCTTCCGTGGAGGGTTCAAACCAAAAAGCTTTTTTGTTATCAGCCTAGTACTTAACCAGTGCACCACCAGGGCTCTAATATAAGATGTGTCAGTAAAGGTGCTTGTAAGTCGCAGTCGTCAGCCTGGGGATAGACAGTATTCTTCTTGAAAAGTCACCTACAAACAGCAAAGGCTCAAGGCGTTAGTTTGGGAAAGCATCTGCTGGGACCGCACCACGCTGACAAATGAGGAGGATGTCCGTCAGGCGCCTGCGTCCTCTCCGCCTCCTTCATCATTTCACAAATCCATTTGGGCTTAAAGACCCTTAATAAAAAGAGACATCGCAGGAGATGGGAAGCTTGGACTTCTTCATTAAAATTTAAACTCACATTTTTCTTTCTCCCTCTCTCTCTCTCTCTCTCCTCTCCTCTCTTCGCTTTTTCTTTCTTTTAGTTGTGATTTTGTTTGGGAGTTCTGTTTTGTTGTGGGTTTTGTGTGGTTTGATTTGTTTTTTTTTTTTTAATTTCTTATTTTTCCTACAAAGACTATAGTCCAGTAAACTACTAAATAATTCATTGGAAAGTAGAGCGATGGATAGGTGATAGGCATTCGAAATGCAGTGAACTGAGGGAAGTAATCAAGACCGGTGAGCTGAGTGAACCTGGCCATCCTGAAAAGCAAACTATATGCACGTGACTCCAGACACAAGTGTCATCGCGTGCACAGTCCTAGCGCTGTGTGGTCACGTCTCCTGTGCTGTGAATGAGGACACTTAGCAGAGAGGAAGCGTCAGGAAACATACATATCTTAAATATAAAACACAGTGCCCAAATTGAGCTTTTTAAATAACCACTAAATATGCTCCTCTGATTCTGATACTCCCTGTGTAAAGAGGAGTTCAAAAATTGCCTCTGAAATTCTGTTAGAAACATATGTGACATTATGCAAATTCTCATCTTATTCATCGAATCATGTGTATACTGCCCTTCACACGGTTACCGCTGCAATGGCCTTGAATGAGGTGGAATGGTGATGTTGCAAGATGAGGCCAAGTTCCATCTCTTGTCCATAGGGTCACTGTCAGTTGTAGTCAACTCCACAACTTCCTAACAGCAACTGCCCTGACAACCTCATGATCTCCAGCTGATTGTTCTGTCCCCAAGGCCAGTAGTATAAAGTGTACCCACTAAACTTGAACTCCACTGAACTTGACATTTTAGAGCCAAAAAGGTGACTAAATCTTCCTAATTATTTAGATCTCATGTCTGTTCTCGGAGGATTTCCAGCTAAGAAAATCTGTTCCACCTGGTACTAACTGGAGCTTAGTTATCAGATATGCAAGAGACACGAGCTCCCTCCACTCCCCTCATGTCCCCTTGCTTGGTAGGACCACCATAGACAAGTTGGCTGTGGATCTCAGACACATTGCTCTTTACTGTTTATTTCTTGTCTGGAAAATGCTTATGCATGTATAAAGTGCATCTACAATGAAAACATTAAACTAACCAAATCAAGTTTAAAATAAAAAGAAAAGAGGAAAACAAAACATAGTTATAATACTTACTAGATAGATTTTTAGTTCTTTTCAGAAGAAATGAATCAGCTACCTCCAAAAAGCTGTTTTCATTGCTATTTTAAGTTACTGATATAAAAAATGTCAAAACCTTTACTAGAAAAAAAGAACTAACTAAAAGCCTTTGCTAGACCTTTAGGAAACGTACTTAACTTTATGACAAATGGACTTTCAAAATATATAGCTAAAAATGACAGCCAAATTGATGGGGGGAAAATCACCTTAAGGAAATGAATGAATATAGGAAATATTCAGTTGTTTGTATAATAGAGCAATACTGTTTCCAATGTATTTTCTGATTAAATTAATTGCACTTTTTTTCTGTTCTCCTCATGTTCCCTTTCATCATTATTGCCATGCATTTAACTCATTGTGATGTGTTACCACTGATATTTATTTTTTAACTTTTCTTTGCGTATTTATTTGTTTGTTTCATTTGGTGGGTTTTGAACCCAGATCCCACTGACCCAGTTGATTATTATCCTTTGCTTGATGATTTCCCCACCTCGGTCCCAGATATCTCCACCCCCATGCTCCCACCAGTAGGTGTACAGGCTGTGGCTCTTACCCATGATGCCGTCAGGGTCAGCTGGGCCGACAACTCTGTCCCTAAGAACCAAAAGACATCGGAGGTGCGCCTCTACACTGTCCGGTGGAGGACCAGCTTCTCTGCAAGTGCGAAATACAAGGTGAAGTTCATATTGATAGCATACAATTTAAAAAGGGACTGTCATTTGCTTAATCTGTTGTGTTTAAGGTGTCCCTGGACTGTCATGAGTCATTTTGCTGCATTGACACTAAATGCAAAACCAAAACAATGTTAATAACTCAATATCTAAAATTAGCAGTGGAATAATTGTCTTAGGAAGTAATTCAAAGGCAAGGAAGGAAAACATCAAGAGCTGCAAAATGGTCTATGAATTCCACTAGATGCTGGGTTTGTAGAAGTGATTTGATTCTGTAGCAAAGCATGCCATTTCCCCCTGAAAATAGCAGGCTTCTAAGTTAAATATTTGAATAGGTTGTTTTGGATTTCTTTTTCCCTTTTTTATTTTTATAGATCGATGCCAAAGATATTAACATCCCAGAGACCCATGTTCCAAAGAGAATGTGTCCATTGATAGTGCTTTGTTGTTGTTGTCGTTGTTGTGTGCCATCAAGTCAGAAGCAACCCATAGGTGGTCTTCTAGCAGGTTTTCAGGAGGAGTAAATCACACAGGAAGAGAGTCCCCATTTTTCTTCCATTGGTTACTAGTGGATTCAAACTGTGTACCTTTTGGATGCCAGCACAACTTCTTACCACTAGGCCACCAGAGCTCCCTTACTAATTTCTTAGGAGTACATATTTGAGGGACTCTTCTCCAGCCTTATCAACTCTAACAGGTGGTTAATATACTGGCACACTTGTGGGACCCCCTGAATTTGTCACAATGCTAATAATACAGATAATATATATATTGTACTCAGAAACTAAAAGTTCAAAAAGTAAATATCAAGCTCCTCCAATGTGGCTAGAACTATGCTAGATCATAGACAAAATTTAACTTTTCAAAGAAAACATCATTTAGTGTGGTTACTTAATATATTACATAATTTTAGAGTAAGTGATATACTAAGCTCTATAAACATACTTGGAAAAAAATTCACAAGTAATACAAGTGAGATAGGATACCCAAATATTTGTAACATGATGGTTAGGATGCAGGTACCTTTCAAAATAAGAGCATAAGCATCACTCAACAAGCAGGAAATGAAACATGGTCCCCCAGTTACTTCACCGTCTTGGTACTGTTTTGTGCCTTTTAACTTTGGTACTGTCCTTGAGAAATTTCAGAGAAAATTGAGTCTCCAGATTCTTAAGCTTTAAGCTAATATTCTTTCCAATGAACCACCAGCTTGCTCAGGACAATCGCAAACCAATGGTGATATGAAGAAAGGAAATATCCCTTGGGAATCTCCCACCCAAGACCAGACAATGTAGCAAAATAGCACAGAGATGCTCTAAGCCTGCCTCCTTCTTCCTGTAGCCATGCTGGGTCTGCTTCTGATATCTTTCAATTTTGAAATTGCACAAAGTTCGCAATTCATCATAAATCAATTTTTAGTTGAAACCATTTCAAATGCGGTTTTCCTTGGTGCTACTGTGGAGCTAGGTTGGATATTTGGAAAACCTCTCCAGGCCATTCCAAATAGTATTGCTGATATAAGATACACTGTAAGTACCCTATCCATCTCCTTCCTGCACTAGATTTAAGACTCAACAAAACCATAAATAAAGATAACATTATCAGATAAGTAAACCAATGAAACATATGAGAACATTTAAAAAAAAACCCACCCTGAAAAACACAAAACATTTCTCTTTCTTTCTCTTTCTTACTTTCAAAAGATTATTTCTCCACTTTGAAATTTTTATGTTCATAGTTACTGTACTTTGGAGGTACATTCATTTCACAGAATGACCATACTACTTTGCCAAAATGTGAAATGTTCTGAAGGACAATGATTATTCTCTGCAGAATCGACTGAGTCCCAAAATTCCTTGAGGTAAATTATTTTAGTTGAATAGTTAGGGCATCAGACACAGATTTATTGAGTCTCACAGAAAATGCCTCTAAAGTAAGATTCAACGCAAACACTGCCCTATGTAAAGTGGTTGGTTTCTCTCATAGTGAGGGAATAGGAAAAAGAAAAGAAATATTATAATCTCTTCCTTTCTTCATTACATTTCCTTCTCTTTGGCTTGCAGTTAGTGACATTCTGTCTTTCTTTTCACAAATGCACACTCTGTCAAGCAAACGCTGGGAAGCAGACGTCAGAGAATCAATAAAATGGACAGTCATTGCTGCTAAGTCTAAACAAACTCATAGTTTACCCTTCAATGGATTTCCAAGGTTCTAAATAGTGCAGAAAGAGATTGCCCAACTTTCTTCCTCAAGCTGCCAGTGGATTTGAACTACTAGAAAGTAGTGGTTAGCAGTGCAACTTCCTACAGACTAAACCACTAGAGCTCTGCGTAGGATGGATGGATAGCAAGGATAAATATAGACCGGATATGATTCACTAGAAAGAAATACACAGCATTTCTTCTTACAATAACATTTCAATAAAATGGTAATAAACATTGATTTTAAATTTTGTCTTTCATTTTTTTTAACCACCACCATATGTGTACTACTACAGCCTAATGAGGTAAGGTAGGAAGGGCATACACAAGACACCAGTAGAAAAGTACACATAATGTCAAAGGGTTGACGATCACTAATTTTATTATATTATGTCATGTAACACAATTTGTTCAACCTCATATTTCTCCTTCATGATGAAAATATTAACACCCATCATAAAAGAATAAATATGAGTATGTAATTATATCTTTACAAAAACATAAGTTGGGCGCATGACTTGGCAAAAATTCCTCATTCAACTAGATAAAACTTAGATGACCTCATTTGTACAATTACTACATTCTGCATAATCAGGTAGGTGGGATGCTATCAGATAAGCACAGAGGGGAAGGGGCACTATTTCTTGAAATGTTATATATCACTTGCAGTTTTACTCAATAATTTCTCTTCAGGGCTCTTCCCACATGAGTACCCTTCTATTTCACCCAGTCCCATCTCGATCCATCATCCAGACATTCAGATTTTTATTTTCAAAACTCTGAATTGACTTTCCAGAACAAAAAGGATAATTTTCTAGAGCATATTTTACCTAAAGTGTTTAATCATCTTATACTTTTTTACCATGAAAATTACATTTTATGTCATTGTTGGCCAGTGATAATATTAATATTAACACAGTCAACTCAAAATTGTGTAAGATTTCAACTCAGCCATCAAAATGCCTCCAACACTGTAAGAAATTGAACCCTTGCCTGAAATTATACATTGTTGTTGTTACTGTTGTGTGCCATTAAGTCATTTGCAACTCATAGGAACCCTGTGTACAACAGCCCTAAACCCTTCTCTATCTTGTGCCAACCTAATTGTCTCTGACACACCTACCCCCATTACTCCAGTCACTGAGTCGGTAATCTCTTTGAGGGTCTTCCTCTCTTGTGCTGTCCCTCCATCTTTCCAAGCATGAAGTCCCTCTCCAAGGACAGATCCTCCTTGCAAAATGCCCAGATTATATCACACAGAGCTTCTGAATCCTAGCCTCTGGGGAGCATCCTGATATCACCCTCTCCAGGACGAACTTATTTGTTCTCTTAGCAGTCCATGGTATGTTCAATACTCTTTTCCAGTACCACAGCTCAAAGGCATCGATTCTCCTTCTGTAGTCCCTAGTCATTGTCCAGCTTTCTGATGCATAGCAAGTAGGTGCAAAGACTGTGGCCTTTATCAGGTGCATCTTAATCTCCAGACTGACATTGTTGCTCTTCAGTATTCTGGAGAGATCCCTCACAGCAGACTTTCCAATGCAACTATACATAGTGTGGAATTCTATATTAAATACTACTGTTAAAACTTATTCAGTGCTCACTCTAGGCCAACCACTATGCTTCTCTTGACTTATTTGATAATGTACTGGGTCAGTAGTATAGTAATCCCTGATTTTAAAAAGTTGAAGCTAAAAGTACCTGCGTAGTCACTGCTCACACAAAGGACCAGTCAGCATTATCTAAAATACCTCTAGACTTGATTTATGAGATATTAGAACTTACCAGTTACCGTTTAATAAAGTCATTGCCTTTATAGACTATGAGTGTATCTATCATTCCAGAATACAAACAAGGATGATATTGCTTATTGATCTTCCATTTGACAATGGTGTATGTGCTCACAGTGATTGGTTTTATTGAGAACATTCATATTCTTTGACTGGACTCTTTCCCATTGACTTGTTTTCCCAACTATTTGCCTTGCAAAGGTTTGTTGTTGCTATTATTGTGTACTGTAGGGTCGGAACTGACCCATAGCTGACGTTTAGAAGGGTTTTCAGAGACAGTTAATCGCACGGGAGGAGACTCTCCATCATTCTCCCACAGTGCGGCTGGTGGCCTTGAACTGCACTCCTGCAGGATAGCAGCACAATTTCTTGCCACTGGGCCACTCAAGACAGTGGAGGAAGGCAAAATTGTGAAATATATACCAGTATTTCAAGAACTGCCTATCCAGCCCCTTCGTGTTCCATTTCATGGAATTCCATCCTCCTGATGGGACAAATGTCCTTGTATTCATGTAGGATGCACATTTTGTAAAGTTATGTTTTAAGAAAAACAACTGATAGACGTTTATGAGGTAATCACGTTAATAGGATAAACGGGCTCATCATCTTAACATTGATAGTGCACTGAAATATGTATTTAAGGTTGAAATGAAATGTAAGATTTTCATAGCTGTAACCTAAGAAGGATTCATAGTAGAATAGAAAGAGTGTAACATGCTGGAATAGGGAGAAAGAAAGGGACATGACATAAATGGGGGTAAAAGTTTCCTTGATCTTCAAATAGGTCTATAACACATGTAAGAAATTAAAATGTAAAAGTAATAGTAAATCTTGGGAAAGATCGTGATCTAAATCAATTAACTTAGGGTTAATTTATTTTTTAAAAGGCAGAAGTTAGTTCAAAGTAACGTAATCATGTAGAAACTATCATTAATGTGGAAAACCTGTGTGGATTTTCTTTTTTTAGATTAGAGCCACTTTGATCTTTTGAATAAACATACATAACTTATTTGCTACTAAAATTTCTTTTAACTTAATGTTTGAAAGACAAAGAATAGATTCAGAAGATGTACCAATACTTACATTACTGTGGACATCAATGTAATTATGTAGTATCTATCAAATTGGACATATTTTTACCTAATTACTTGCTCCAGAGACCACGCATACAAGTTTGACTTGAATGCATTTCTTAGAGATAAAAATCCAACTCTAATAAATTAGCTCCCAACTAAACAACTCATGATAATCTAGAAGGATCTATCCATATAATAAATATATAAACATTAAAACAAGTGAATAGTCATTTAGTTTCTTACAAATCAAGGCAGTATAGACCACACCACAAATGGAGTACACAAAAGGAAGCAGAAAATGTACCAGCATTGTGCTTATTGTCTTATTTGGTGTAAAAAAGGTCACCTAGCTGCACTCCTTTGGCATAATATACACCTGATTCTATTGATATGTTTGGTTTGTACAACCGATAAGACATGTGGACATAAAGGAAGGCAAGAAGCAACATTTGTGATATAATCTAGCTTTTCTAGTCTTTGGAAATAGACTGTTGTGGAGTTGTTTCAACAGAGTAAAACTGTCTAGTAGATAATTGTTTGGTCGTGTTTTTACATGCCTTGCGTTACCAAATTGATAGATTTCAGTTATTTTCTCTTTTTGCTTTTTTTCCCACTGGTATAGTCAGAAGATACAACATCTCTGAGTTATACAGCAACAGGCCTCAAACCAAACACAATGTACGAGTTCTCGGTCATGGTAACAAAAAACAGAAGGTCAAGCACGTGGAGCATGACTGCGCATGCCACGACGTACGAAGCAGGTACGTGAGGGTGTGCTAGATTGAAAATACCGCTTGGGAAATGATATTTCCTAGGAATGCCCACTAAAATTCCTCAGTCACTCTTTCCTGTTAGTTAACACGGACTCATGGCGATCCTACTTACAGCAGATCAAACCTGTCTGATCGGGCTTCGTCGTCAGCATTTCCTTTGAGATTGAGTTCATGCTTACAGTTAATAAGCCAATCTGTTCACTGAAGATACTTTCCTTCTCTGACCTCCACCTTTCAAGCCAGATGTGCATGTCCAGGGACCAGCCCTTCCCGATAACACCCTAAAGTGTGTGAGATGAAGTCTCACCGTCCTTGCTTCGAAAGAACATCCTGGCTGTATTTCTTCCAAGAAGAATTTGTTTGTTCTCTTGGCAGTCCATGGAATAGTCAGCATTCCTTACAACTCCACACTTCACCAAAACCAAATTCATTGTTTCTAAGTCAGTTTAAACCCGCAGTGACCTTCTAGGACAGAGCAGAACCGTTCCCAAATGCTGTAACATTTCTGTAAGTGGACTGTCATAAATGTTTCCCACAGAGTAGCTGGTGAGTGGAAACTGTCAACAGCAGCTCAACATGACCATTATACCACCGGGAATCCTTAATTACACCTTATTATATCAATTTATTTTTTTTTACTTTATAGTTGATGTTGGTGTTGATTGCCTTCGAGTTGAGCACAACTCATAGTGACCCTATGAACAAAAGGCCTGAAGCCCCTCTACAACTATCTACATTTGTAAAAGTTCATAGAGTTTCCAGAGGCATGTTATTTAGGAAGTGGATACCACTCCTGCTGCCAAAGTATAGTTCATAGTACTTTATATAAGTTACTGTTCATCTCGCTCTAAGAAAAAAGAAAATAAACCTCAGATATTAAATAAACTGGTTACACCATTAATAAGTAGGTGCTAATTTTGGCAAATGACTGTCACTTATCTTTTTTTTTTAACATTTAAGCAAAGACAACAATCTATTGAACTCTGCTATGATTTATGTTTTGTTATTAAAAATGTATCCTTTTCCATGCAGGTATAATCTTGTTTGGAAATAGGATTTGCTTTTGTGACATTAATAATATAATACAAGAAATAGGATTTGCTTTTGTGACATTAATAATATAATACAAGAAAAGAATGGATCCTAAATATAATTATTTCTGAATTATAAAAATGATAGAGAAAACACAAAGGTACACATGGGGTTAGAGGGAAACAAAGGAGATAGATGGTCCCACAAAATCAGGAATGCTGAGGATTGCTGGGAGACACCTCAAAGTAGGAAAGTCCTAGAATTACCACAACAGAGACCTTGATTTGAACTTTTAGCCACCAGGACAGTAAGGAAATAAATTTCTATTTCTTGTAGTATTTTGTTGGTGGTGGCGTTGTTATGGCATCATGAATACATTAAGATATTGTCTAAAAGAGCTGTCTTTGAAGACTAGTACAGGTAGCTACTTGGAAGTTTGAAAGAAATTAAACACAAAATAAAATACTCTAAAACTGTCTTCTAACTGGCACTTGCCCTTTATAACCTCAGCTAGATGTGGAAACCAGGCCCCGGGTGAGCATCTTCACTCCGTGGAAATGAGCCATTACAATAGAAGACCTTTTTGCAGTTAGAAATGGTTCAAATCGAGGGTGATAAAACTTCACTGTAAATTTTACCAATAACATTTACCATGGATCATAAATGTAGAGTTTATAACCTTAGCAGGGATTTGGAGCACTTGGCATTTATAGTCACAGAAATGAAACATCTGGAGAATGTAGAGTTGAACATGTTTCTAAATTGGTTTTATCAAACTTGTAGTAAATGAAAGCACACATTTACAAATTAATGGAAAGAAACACAAAACATATATACACCAGTAAAGCTCTCCTCCTCTGGTTAAGTTCAGTGTCCTTATTCGTAGAAGGCATCCCATGACAATGCAGTTATAATCTTTATTTCAGGTCACTGCATCAATAGTTGGAGTTCATTGTGAATATTTTTACACTTTTCGGGATGCTTCCTTCTATAGTCACTTTTCTGGTTGCCCTGATTTAGTTTCCACCTCCTCATTTTCTGTTCTGCCTGCTTTCCATAGATTAACTCTTTCGCAGGACCCTGTCTTAGAAGCCAATGTTCACAATCTCTTAGCAAGAATAACAACAGCTGAGTGAGCTGCCTTCTTAAGGAAGAATAAAGAGCTTTCTCTTCTTTATTATTTAAGAGGAGAGGAAATGAGTTAAATGTAAGAAATGTTAACCGCCCTGAATGGAAGAGGAATAATCATTTTCTCTTAACAGAAGCAAATTCATTCCTTTTTTTTTTTTCTCTTTCATAAGCATAAAGTGCACACACTAATACCTGACTTGATAAATGCGCCCTATTGATTTCTCATCAGCTGCCTAGCCTTGTAGGGACACCATTGGTGAGACCCATTGCTGACAAAAAAAACATTAACTTGAATTGCAGTTAGTAGACAGAGTGATTGTCAAACCGGATAATGATCCAGACAAAGGTGTAAATAGCATGTGGATGAGATCCCTGGGTGATGATGAAAAGCAAGAAGTAATTCACAAGTGTCTGCAGATTTTGTAACCGTGAGAGGGAAATAATGCGAATGAAATAACACATCCGCTTTGCCTTCTAATTCTGCAATAATGTAAAGACTGTGTAGAGATGCATCGCTTTACTCTTGTGCTGGGATTGCTCATAAGAAAAATAACAATGGCTTGCAAAGTCTTGAAAGAGAACATTCCATTCCATTCCATGTGATAAATTTGTCATTTCACTCACTGTTGCAAATGTAAGTCACATAAGAATAACTGAAAGTCTGCTAACAGAATAAAAAAATTCAAATTATTGGCCTTGGGGAAGAGTAAAGAATCAACATTATTTCCAGGATCTAAAGATCAGGAATGATAGAAATACCCCTTTGGGGTGGTGCTGTTGGAATAGTTTGACTCAGTGTATTTTCTTTCCTGGTATTCACTTTTCCATGAGAAGGAATCTGACTGACATTTCTTGAGTCAGAGGAATGATGTACATCTTAAAATAGGGCGGAACAAACACCATAAAATCCTCAGTTGTTCCTATCAAGTCCACATGAAGTGGAGTAGAGCTTATTCCCAGAGAATAAGTTAGTTGAGTCTCTCTCTAAAAGAAAGAAGGGTTGAGATGGGCAGTCCAAGCAAACAGATGTCTCTACAGCTGGAAATCTCCCAGACCGTGAATATCACCTTATATTCATGCACTTAATGAAAAAATTCAAGTGTAGGAGAGATTCTTTTCAAGTCAGGGAAGGTAGAAAGCAGTGCTTTGTCCATTGGACTAAGATACTAATTATAGATTTTTTAGTAGTGCTCAATTATAATTTTGAGGCGTTGAGATCAGCACTCAGCATGAAAGGAAATAGGATGCCAGCTGTATCTTCAAGAGAATGCAGTGAAGAAGAATTCCTAAGGAAGTTCTGGTGGCCTACTGGCAAGAGGCTGTGCTGCAATCCTGAAAGCCCCCGGTTCGAATTCACCAGATGCTCCACTGGAGAAGGTTGGGCAATCTCCTCCTGTGTCAGTTGATTCAACTCAATGGTACACAACAAGGGATGCAGCAAGGGAAGAAAGAAAGAAAAGCATTCCTCAAGGGACCTGAAAAGTTTAATCACAGAATTCCAGCTAATATGAACTTCCTGGGATGGAGATAATAAATTTTTAAATTAGTAATGGAACTTGCTTTAGACTATGCCATTAGAGTCTCTTCAACGTTCAAGACATTAGATTCAATAAAAACTTCTCTATTCACTAATATTCACATGACTAAAGAAGGGAAATGCAAAGCCTCTTCCATAGATTGATTGCTAGATTATTTCCTTTTCTTTTTAATGAAAAACTCAGAAATGAGTTAAGTTTTTGAGCATTTCATTTTATTGCTTATATTCACAACCAATGTCTATGGGAGAAGGAGTATAAAAAATAAATAAAGTGATGGAAGTCTGTTGGAAAAATCCTTAAAAATCTTAAAAAATTAAGATTTAAACAGAGGATTCTTCAGCAAAAAGGACACACTTGTTCTCTCAGAATACAGATTTGTTAGGGATGATCAGAAATTGGCTCTCTAAAAGTGTGATATTAGGGCATGAGGCGTGAAGTAGCTGACTTGCGTGCTTTCATGAAGGTACTTATTAGTAAGATGTTTGAAAGGGGAGGAAAAACCTACAATATACGTGTACAAAATATAATGTAATGAAGCTAATTATATAAGTAAATAAAAATAATATTTTTAAAAAATAAAGATGTCACTTGAGGACTAATATGCATCTGAACCAAGCATGATATTTTCATTTGTCTCAGATATAGGTGAAAGTTGGCCAGAGACTAAGTAGGACCAGAGAAGAGTTCATGTCTTTGAATTTTGGTTTTGACGAGGAATATTAAATATAAGATGAGCTGCCAGAAGACCAAGAAAAAAACAAACAAACAAACAAACAAACCCCCGTATCTTTAAAGAAGCTCAACCAGAATGTTCCTTGGAAGGAAGCATGGCAAGTCTTCACCTCACATGCTTTCCTTGCTTGATGAACTCTATGGCCATGTCAGTGATTGTAAATTCGAAAAGAGGCTTTAATTGTATAGAACAGTGCAGTGGGGTTGGGATAGAGACGAATGCTTAGAAACAGAATCTCAAATGTGATGAAAACGGTGAAATTATTCACTACACCTTAGCAAATAAGGACAAGTGTTCCTGTGTTTAACTTGCTTCTTGGGTAAGCTGACACTATATACCTCAGTGTGTGATGAGGAGACACCTGTTCGTAGATATGGACATCATGCTTCGTCAAGCAGAGAGCAAACCAAAGATAGGAAAGAACGAATTTTCAGAGTGACTACAACAAAGGGCTCAAACGTAGTAATATTGTGACGTGACACCGGAAGCAGCCTTCTGTTCTGTTGAACATGAAGTTTCTATGAATCAGAACTAACCCAAAGTCACCTAACAACCACATTGAAGAAGGGCTGCTTTATCTCTCATCACAACAGATACAGTGAAGCAATGTAATCATCTTCATTTGACTATTTTCTTTAAAAAAAATCTAATTCAACACAGCTAAGAGAAAACAGACTGTTCTAATTAGATAAAAAAGAACAGCTCTTTACATTACTTCCATAATCTCAATTTTTTTAGTTATTTTTTTGCATCATCTAAGTAAATTTATGACTATATTTTCTCTCTGATCTACAAACCCTCTTAAATTAAGTCCTTATGAGAATAACTTCTCTTAAAGGTCTAGTATCTTGGTTTATCAAATCTAATTATCTTGCAAAAAAAGTCCATGACCTAAGAGTCTTCATCCACTTTATTATATGTAAGGATTAATTGTGGTTAATCTATGATTGTTACTTTGCTTCTTTTATCCTTTTCTCTTCCCCCCCTTTTTATATTCTTCTCTTTTTCAGTGTTGTTCTTCTCTTTGCCTTGTGAAGATATTACATTCATATACATTTTTATTAACCAAGAAATAGAATGGCTTTGAGGATCAAGACTTTGAAAACAAAATATTTTAAATAGGAATAATTTGTTAGTTCTTCCTTCATTTGACCCCATATAAAGAACTCTGTTGAGAAAAGAAACTGGAACTAGAGTGTTGAAAATACTCAGGTCCTTCATAGTGGACAAAAAGAAGAGCCAAAAAGAATGGAAAGAGTGAGAATGCCTTAAGAAATGCAAATAAATTCTATTTACTTTGTGATACACAAGCCTTCGTACATGAGAGGGGAATATTCTTCTCGAAGTCAACCGTGTGGGCCTTCTGTGCTCTACAGCTGCCTATGCGAAACTAAGAGTAACAAAATGAGATTATCAATAACTAACTTGGAGTGCTGTAATCTACACAGAAGGAAAACTAAGGGCATGCCAAGTCATATTGCTTCTGTCATTGAATTAGTGTTGACCATGACCACTTCATATACAATGTAACAAAACATCTCCCAATCCTGCATCACGCTCATGATTTCTGATATTTAAATCTATTGTCTTGACCATTGTATAGTTCCTTTCTCCCTAGGGGTTCATCTTCCAGCGCTATGTAGGACCATATTCTGTTGAGTTCCACAGGATTTGCATTGACCAATTTTCATGAGAAATCATTAAGCCTTTCTCCTTGCTAGTCTGATTCTAGAAACTGTTGAATTCTTTCCTCCATGAATGATCCTGCTGATATTGGAGATGGCCACGGCATAGTTTCCAATGTCATAGCAACATTTAAGCCGTGTTCTTGACAAACTGACTAATGATTTTGAAGCATAGAGATGGCAAACCAGCCTGGAAGACACTGACCTTGTTCAGTCTGCTAACGCTTTTAATGTATATTTAAAGTTTCACTGAACAAAACGTGAAAAAGCAGCTTTAAGAAGGACAGCATTTTAAAAAATAAATTATAAAAATAAATTGCATTTTAAAAAAAGGATGGCATTACATTCTATCATGATACTAAGACCTTCATAGACTACTCTAAGAAATACACAAATAAAAGATTTCAACTCAAACGTTTTTAAGGCACCACACAATTAGGCTAAATTTTAATTTAAAAATTTTACAGTTATAACTATTTTTTTATCTTGGAGATACATGGCCTTTAATCTCACTAAGTATAGATACATTTCTTTGTGTTTATAATGAACTCATATTTTTCAGAGCAGTAGATCCTGGAAAATACATTCTACCTATATTGTCTCTCCATTCTTACCTTCAGAAGTCACTTAAATCTATTCGTATTGCTTTGAGTATTTAATCCAGACCCTTGAAAAAAATTACAAATGGCAAAATCAACATGCTCCAAGTGTTTCCTGATAGACTCAGAGTGCCAACACTATGATTAAAAGCCCCACAAATGTCTGTTTTCTTTCAATGACAAGGCCTTGTCTCTGTCTCGTCTTGCAGCCCCGACCTCTGCCCCCAAGGATTTGACAGTCATTACTCGAGAAGGAAAGCCCAGGGCTGTCATCGTGAGCTGGCAGCCTCCCCTGGAAGCCAATGGAAAAATTACGGGTAAGCATCTCGGCTGAGTATCCCAGCTTTGTGCTGCCGAAGCCTGCGACTGTGCAACTCGAATGCTGTCCGGGTGTGTATATCCCTTTGCTGTCTCCCCACCCGCAGTGATTCTCCAGTGCTCTCAGATTCCTCCCACCCGTCCCACCTGGCTGGCCCTGGGATCATGACCATGATGGTGCATCCAAATTCATACCCAGACATATCTCCTTCATGTAGGATAGGCACTTAAATTAGCATGGGCCTTTTATTTTCCCCTAGTCTTTAGAGATTTAGGACAATCTTCCAATGCAGTGACTCTGAAAAAAAAAAAAAAAAGATAAAAAGAGATGTCAATAGTTTGGTAGCAATGAGATACAAAAGATGGCCATGAATTTTTTTTTTTAATGACACTTACGAATGTTTTTCTGGAGATATCTTGTTTCCCCATTTAGCTTTTAGTTTCTCCCTGAAATCATAAGGTTCAGAAAACACTTAATATTGACTGACAGAAATTGAACTTAATGAATATTTCACAGTGACAGATTTTATTTTGCCAAATATTGCTGATAACATCCATGCCTAATTAAAGCATCCTTTAGAAGCCTGTAATGTTAATTTAGTATGAAAAATATAATGGAGTTCTATCAAGGATTTTGCATTTAAATGATCACTTTAGGCTTTTAATAGATGTCTCCATAGCATATAATTATTATGAAAAATATTGTATAACTCAGAGTGTGCACATTATAGTCTAATTAACTTGAACCATTGGGTTAGGCACATAGAAGACTCAGTCTTATTTCTTTTTCTTTTTTGCATACAAGAAGTGAATAGCACTGTCATAAATTAGCGAGTGGTTCTGTCTTTTTGTGATACAGAGATAAGCGTGGGGAGTGAAGTTCAGGAGGCATGCATGCTTTATGCGAGTTACTTTTGGAATTTTACAAAATGAATGTAAAAATTCCAAATGTGATTTAAACCTCAGCTGTGGGTATGTTTCCTCTGGGAAATTGCTCTGAACACAATAAAGAACACACTTTTGTTTTTTAACTTCATCTGACAAATGTGGGGGAAAAAGAAGAGGGGCCTAGAGTCTCTCTGTATCTCCTGCACTCACTTCTCATTGCACTAGCACATTTGAGTGGGCGTTGGCTCATTCCAATTTCCTTTCCGTTTCTTTTTTCTCAGGATTATGGTCTATTTTCATTGGTTCTGTTTCAGTATGTTGGCAGAATGCGATTTGTTTATGTGCTGTCTATTTTATTATGTTAGATTCGGTTATGGCTATGCATACGGTAAATCAATCAGCAGACAACAAGTTTAAGATGCAAACAATACAAGGTGTCTAAGTAAAAATAGATTCTGACAGAAAAAATGGTGTGGGGTGGTTTTGTTGTTGTTGGTTTTGTTGTTGTTGTTTGGTAAAGGATAAAGTAAATCAACTACTACATATTTTGCCAATGTTTATTTGAATAAATCTCTTAAGATGGTCACAATAACCAACAGAGGAGTTTTTTCATTATGAAAAGAAAAACTTTGATTTTCAAAGAAAAAAATGGGTAAATGTGGCCTATATTAAAACTCGAGACTGACTGTTGTTGAAGGAGAACTGGCCCATAGCAAACCCCTGTGTGGGTTTCCAGGGCTGTAGAGAGCACAGAGATTGTTCTCAACACAGAGATGTGTCTCCCAGAGGATCTATATTAAGAAATATAAATTAAAATGAGCAAGGATGTTGTCGATTGCTATTGAGTTGAGCATGGCTCATAGTGACTCCATGAACAAAAGATCTAATGCGTTTGTATAACTATCATTTCTCCAAGTTCATAGTTTCCATAGGCATGTGGTTTAGGAAGTGGGTGCTGCTCCTGCTTCCAAACTGTTTTACAGCTGGGAGCTCCACCAAACACTGTCCACACTGGGAAACCGTTATGGCATCTGACACCCCAATGGCACAAGGTCAGCACCACAACAAATCCAGATTACCTCAGTAGAGCAAACTGGCCAAGAGTGATGCACAAAGTAGAAGAATTTTCTTCCAAAATATCACAACACTCGTCTCTAAGTCTTAGCAGTGGTTAAGTGTCCTCAGGTCGAATATGACTCATAATGACCCTATGGGAAAAAAGCCCTGAACTTTGCTCTATAATTAACATCATTTCTTTATTCTGATAGAGTTTCCAGAGGCATCTGGTTTAGGAAGTGGATGCCACTCCTGCTTCTAAACCAGAATCATTCTGGAAGCTCCTCCCAACACTGTCCCTGATTGTTGACCATTATGGTATTTGACACAACTATGGTACAGTGTTCAGCATCACAGCAACTCCAACTTTTTCAGTACAGCAAATAGACAACTACTCTACCACTTAAAGAATGAGCAATAACACCCTGTCAAAAATATAGCTCATCTATGTGATATGCCTTGTTCATGTACTTTGCAAGAGTTGTATAGCCAGTTATTCTCACTACCAAATTCTGTTCACTCACAATGGCAAAGTTACATTTTTTTGGCCCTTAAAACCCGGATCTATTTTTTATAAACAATATTTAATTATCATGTTCAGATAGTTTGATTCAATTCAATAAACACCTGATAATCAAATCAGTATCTACCAACATTATTGGTAAAGAACCAGTGGAAAAAGATAACCATTAAGATCATAACTCAGTACAGAACTTACATGCTGTGTTTTCTTTTATTTCATATAAATTGTTTCCAGAAAACATGACGATAGGTATTCAAAGTACCAGACCACTAAGCAAGGGGTTAAGGTTCGCTAAACTCAGCTTCTCCTGAGAGTGTTAAGAAGAATGTGCGTGAGTGTTCCTGCCCCAAGTGGTAGAACATATCCATTCCCAGGAAAGCGTGTGTTTACAGGCTCTCATTGGATTTTTGGGTTTTTCTGGGTCCTTGTGCGTGTCCAGGAGTGAAGTGGGATGCAAAGGAGCCTATGATCCTTCAAGAGATACCTGAGCCAGTCAGTCATTCTCAGCAATAAAATGAGGATAGTCATAGAACCTCTCTCAGAGAATCATTATAGTCGAGTACTGATTAAAATTTCTGATTCCTAGTGGGCTCATATTCAGATTCTCTTTGTCGTTAGGCATTACCATATCTATTCCAGCTCATGGTAAGTCCATGTACAATAGAAGGAAACACCTCACAATTTTGCACCATCCACGTGCCTGTTGCTGTGTCTGAGTCCATTATTGGAGCCACAGTGTCAGTCCACCTCTTGTTGAAAGACTTCCTCCTCTTTTCTGAGAAGATACATATAAATAGTAGCATAGAACTATATTCAAATTAGTTGTCAAGATTCAAAATCCTCCTTGTGTACTGTTAGTATAGGGATCTTGCCATGTGCCTGGGTCTCCCCATACTGAGCCATGTACTTGACTTGTGAAAGAGCTCAATACTGAGTGAACAAAAATATGGAAATGGACAGAGGATTGGGCATTTGCGATTGAACATATCCTCAACACTTTGACTTTTGACTTAAAGCTACCTATTTCTAGAAGAAGAATCCGAATGGCAAATAAATGACACAACATTTTACACATATTTTGACAAATTTGATTCCAGTATAAATGTGACACTTGCATCAATATGATTCAAGAAAGTCATACAAACAAAAATCTACTACCATCAAGTTGGCTCCAACTTGGAGCAACCTTATGTTGGGCTTCCCAGGCTGGAAAACTTGATGAGATTGATCATCTTTCTCATACATAGCAGGGGGTGAATTAGAACTGCTGAACTTATTGGCTAGCAGCTCCACACTTTACATACTGTTGTTGTTTTTGTTATGTGCTGTTAAGTCACCTGCGAATCATAGTGACCCTATGTACTACAGCCCTAAACCCTGCTCTATCCTGAGCCAATCTTATTGTCTCTGACACATCCACCCCCATTACCCTAGTCACTGAGTCAATACATATCCTCGAGGATTTTCCTCTCTTGCTCTATCCATCCACCCTCCCAAGCATGATGTCCCTCTCCAAGGACTGGTTCCTCCTTGCAACATGCCCAAAGTATGTCAGATGAAGTTTCAGATCCTTGACTACAAAAGAACACCCTAGTTTCACCCTCTTCAGGACAAACTTGTTTGTTCTCCTAGAAGTCCATGATATATTCCATACTTTTCTACAGCACCACAGCTCAAAGGCATCAATTCTTCTATCATCACTAATCATTCTCCAGTTTTCTGATGCATACCAAGTAATTGCAAGGACTGGCCTGGATCAGGTACACCTTAGTCTCCAGACTAACACTGTTGCTCTTCAGTACTCTGGAGACGTCCCTGACAGCAGTCTTTACTACACCTTATAATAACTTACATTTTAAAAGGTTGTAGTGAGGATGAAACAAAATCAAAGTAGAGTAAGGCTAAAGGAAAAGATATAAAAAGAGTTGAGCATAGAAAAATAAATGTGAAGGCACAGAAAGGTAGCATGAAAGATCAAAAAATTTGTTCAAACCTCTGGCTATACTGAAATACTGGATGTAATTTCTTTCAAATATATCAAACTTATACATCAAAACAAAGCTATATGCCTTTTTAAAGGTTTATTTTTAGAGTCTTGAATTATGTCTGTTTCTATTTTCTATCCTCCTTTCAGAATTTTTATAAAAGGCAGCTTTCCCCACAAGTACAGAGAAATTGTTCAAATACAATTTGAAGGTGTCAGAAACTGATGCTTGCACCTTCAACTTTAGTCCCTTAGTGCCAGAATTGTCACTTTAAATGCCTAATTGACTAATTTCTACCTGAGAAGGAGCGAGAAGTACAATGAAGGCAAATATTTCATTCTCATTTGAAAAACAGAGAAAATAAGCAATAAACGTAGCTAACGTGGAGGAGAAGCACAATTCTTCAGATTTTCAACTTCATTATCCATTTACAAGAGTCCATGACACCTTCAGCAATTTCATTAAATGACACGAATGTAGAACTTAGGTGCTTGCAGGCGAGGAGATGTGGTGCAATGAGTGAGTTTCAATACCTATTATGTGAAGACCATTTTATTAGGTTCTTTGAAGAATACAAAAGTAATATAATGCATGTCTCCTGAACCAAAGGCATAGTTTCATTCTATTCAAGAAGTAAGAAGTCCATGTAATAAAAATGAAAGAATAGTACTGCTATCGGATACTCCTCTTCATTAGAGGTGGTTCTTTGAGGACAAGAAAGAAGATTGTATGGCTCAAGGACTATTAGTGAGTTTTACTGGGGCCAACTTATGTATTAGTGAGCATGTATCTGTCAGAAAAGAACTTTTTATTCAACAGTATTGCACAATTCCTTCAGAATTTTACTTTCCCACCAACTAGTTTATTTACAAAACTCATATACAAATTTGAACAAATCCCCCAGCCATCAAATTGTACAACCCAATGATTAATCCCCCCTCCTCCTGCACATCCACATCCCTCTGCTTCCATCTCATAGTGACCCTGTAGCACAGTTTTTGATGGTCATAGGTCACATGTCTCTGTCAGTTTAAATGCACCAAGTAGCTCCATGGGAGAAAGATAGACAGTCTCCTCTTGGTAAGATTTACAGCCTTAGAAACCTGATGGAGAATGGTTATGAGTTGGAATTAACTTTTTTAAAAAATTATTTTATTTTGGAATTAACTTTATGGCTGTAAGTGTGAGCTTGAATCTCATGGAAGCAGGCAGACACATCTTTGTCTTGGGGAAGGTTGGTAGGTTTTTAACTGCTAAGCTTTTGATTAGAAACAGGGAGTTTAGCCACTATGACAGAATATATGGAATTATAGAAGGTAATATACAGAAATGGATGCATAAAAGGATCTCTGGTAGCCTGATGGGAAGGAGTTGCCCTGCCAAGTCCAAGGTAAATGGTTCCAATCTGCTAGCTGCTATGTGGCAGAAAGCTGAGCCATTTTCTCCCACGTAGTTCACTGCCACCGAAAAACTGCTGGAGGGTCATCTATGAACTGGACACAACTTGATGCCTGTAACAACCACAACAATATATTTATAAATATATGGAGGCCTTTTCCATGGCCAAAGTCTCCAGGTAGTCATATAGGCAGCTCCAGAGTGGCTGTTCTGTATTTCCAACTCTAATATGACCTGAAGTCTTTTTACAGCTCAAAAAATGCTGTGGGCTGGGGAGGGGGGGGGGGGGGGGGGAGAAAAGACTCAGAGGATGTGTTAAGAAGAAAAACTCAGTGTGGTTTGATGACATCACAAAATGTCATTAGACAAGGCCTAAAGCTCGTCCAGGCTCCCAGCAGAAATGCAGGAAGGGCTAACATTTGGGGACTCTAAGCTGGAGGCTAGAACAGGTTCCAGGATCCTAAATGCAGGGGTAGGAGGCAGGCAAAAGGCGCTCTGGTGAAGGCTCTGGGTAGCCTCCTAGGGAAGCCCCATCCTAGCCCAGAGGAAGTCAGATGCTTTGTCTTTTTATTATCAAGCATCTTGTGGGTTCAAATCACTGACCTTTGATGTGACAGCTAAATAGCCTAACCACAGTGTCACTACCGCTGCTAGGTAATGTAACAAACTCCCAAATTCTCTCCCACTGAGTACCCTAACCACAATGTCATGACAGCTGCTAGATAATGTAACAAACTCCCAAACTCTCTTTCACTGAGTATCCTAACCACAGTGCCACTACAGCTGCTAGATAATGTAACAAACCCCAAACTCTATCCCACTGACTCAACAGATATTCAGAAATATGTATCTACCTATGTGAATTGGACCAGGAGAAATCAGATGGGATTTTTTACTATGGTTGCAGAAGACACCATCTAGTTCTTTTGGCAATCAGCTAGGTCACCTTGCTCCATCATCTGTGAACAGAGGAGACCAACACGGCGCCTGCCAACCTCACTGAGTTATTACAACAATAAAATATGATCATTTCTTTTTATAACAGTTTAAATATGCATGGCATTTTGTGCTTCTCAATGGATATTTATATGTTAGCAGAAGCCAAAATAAATATTACTTATTTTTCATTATTGGACTACAGTGAAAATTATAAAGACTTGTTACCTGTGTTTTGTATTTTTCATCAGGCGTTTCCATTAGCACAAACCACTAACCAGGATTTATTAGCAGCAGAAAGACCATATTTTTTAAATGTAGGGGATATTTTTTATTTCTAATGGGCAATTTCATTTTGAGATCCCCACAGTCAAATGTTATCCATCTAATCCATATGATATGCTATGGGGGGGAAATCACTACATGCAAAATTGAAAAGTGTAGTTTACAGATTATGAATACATACAAGAGCCATTGCAACTTTAAATTGTGAAACATGGGTATTTAGAAGCTAAACAACAGCATGCAAATACACTAAACAAAGTCACATTCCTCTATTTATGCAGCTTACATCTTGTTTTACACCTTGGACAAGAACATACCAATTGACGATTGGATTATGGAAATAATCAGTGGTGATCGGCTGACCCATCAAATCATGGATCTCAACCTTGACACCATGTATTACTTTCGAATTCAAGCTCGGAATGCTAAAGGCGTCGGGCCGCTGTCTGATCCCATTCTCTTCAGAACACTGAAAGGTTTGAATCTTTTCTTCCTATTTCCCTGCTTTCCCTATGGAATTGCTTTGGAGTCATCCACCTTAGAAACTGCCCTATGTCATCCTGCTGGCCACAGCGGACATTCAAAGTAAATTTAGTATGTTCCTTTTTTTTTTTTCCCTCAAAGTCAGTATGTCAAAGGAAGATGTATTGTAATGTCACATTTTCTGCCATCTGCTCAAGGCCACCATATTTAACTTGACTTTTTCCATTTGCAATCCTTTTGATATTTTGTATTGATTTTTGTATATCCAAACTGTAATGAAACCCTTCATTCATTTTATATCAAGTCATAAAAATTAAAATGAATTGATTTCTGTGAATAGCATACTGTTGCCAACTTCAAATGTTCTCATTTAGGAATGATTGTCCTTTTCTATTAAAGGAAATTTTGATATGGCAAGACGAAATTTCAAACAGCATTAAAGTGTTTATTGTAAAAATCCTGGTTAGCAGCAATGAAAAAAAAAAAAAAGAAGCAGCTTCTTGCAGTATGATTTCACAAGTATACAAAGGGCAAAAGTAGCTTTTCAATTCAAGAATAACTACATGCTCACCAAGACAAATACTAAGCGATTACATCAAAATAACCTTCAGACCAGCCCTTACTAGTTCAGAAAAGACTTTTAATTTTTTAGAGGACATACGGTTTCAAGGGCCTCTGTACTTTAGCAGCTTAAACTTATTTAAATGCTCCATCATTGGGGGGGGGGCGTGTGTGTGTGTGTGTGTGTAACTTTATGGCTGTAAGTGTGAGTTTGAATCTCATGGAAGCAGGCATACACATACACACATATACACATATACACATACACACATACACACATATATTTATATATGTATATATACATACATATATATGCACGTGTGTATATTTCTATTTCTATTTCTTTCTGTTTCTGTTTGTTTCTATTCCTATTTCTATTCTTTCTATTTCTATTTCTATTATTTCTATATATTGTTGTGTACTGTAGATTCAGAACCAACCCATTGCTGACCCTCCGGCAGATTTTCCAAGGTAGTTAAACGTACCACGGACTTGGTTGCTCAACCTTCTCCGGCTGAAAACCCGCTGGCGCATGAGCTGTGGGTCAGTTCCAGTTCAACAGCACACAACAGCCACCACCACCCAGGTTTTTGGGATTTCATGTCTAAATTGAGTTTCACTCAAAAAGAACAGCTGATAGGAAAGTGGTTATTCACTCTGTGGGAGCATGAAGTGTAGCTAATGTTTTGCAAATGCTTCATCTTGATCTATAGACAAATGCCAAATTAATTTCCTGCTCACCGCATGTGCCAACTAAGAAATCCCAAGGAGGGTTTAGGATGACTCGCAGAGTCATCCAAACGTATTAAGCAATGGAGTGATGAGTTATCACAGAATTTACAGGTCCAGATTGATAAACAAACTGCTGTTTACTTCATGAATTCAGTCTCTCAGTTGACACTTTTATCGTAAGGGCCCATGTACATCTGAGAAGTAATCTGTAAAACTGAGGAATAACTCAGAAATGTGTTCTATGTCATAATTCAAAAGAGTCTTTCTAATATGTTGATTTGAATAATTAATAGCATCTAATCTAATTTACATCATAATAATAGCCAACTGGACTTTTAAAAAAAGTCATTTTGATATCTCAAAATAAGTTCCTGATGCACTGTATGCACTATAAATTATGTGGAAATATTGATAGTTTACCGATTCAATAATCAGCTTTATTCAGGCAGATATCTTGCATGTTATTTTCTATGACAAATATTTTAAAGTAAGTAAACTGTTCCTCATAAGATATTTGCAGCCACAATGAACAATTATAAATATATAAAATAATGCAGTTGTTCTCTGAGTGAAGATTTTTAGCATCCAGAAATGTTTAAAGGCATAAAGTCTTTATAGTTCACCAGAATGTAACTAAACCTGAAAAAGTGAAAAATTTACATGTTATGTTGAAGCTAGGAAAGCTACAATTGTCTGCTGGTTAACAGGCAAGAGTTTTATCACAAACTGTGCCACAGGCAAGTGTTCACCAGCTTTATTCTTTCATGTTCTGTCTTTGCAAATATGGCAACGTTATCTGCTAACGGTATATCCGTTTGGTATTATCTTTGATCCAGAGAGATAGGAAACTCTAATAATCCCTGGTGAATTAAAAAGGATGTAGCTGGTGGCTTAGTGGCAAGAAGCTGTACTGTAATCCTGAGGGCACACCATCTGGGACCACCAGCTGCTCTGCAGGAGAAGGATGGACAATATCCTCTGGTTTGATTAAATGCCTCTGAAAACCCGCCATAGTGTCAGCCATGGGATGAATCCGACTCTACGATGCACACCACCACCACCACCAATATATTTTAACATTTATTTGACATTCTGCCCACAGCATCCTTATGTATTGCAAATTGAGGCTTGAGTTTGTTCTTCACTTCCTAAATTTAGCTTAAGAAATGTGTAGTGAGTTGATCCCTTTTGATTTCCAAGTTCAGCTATTTGCACATTCCATTATAACGCTTTGATTTTGTTATAATACTTTGCTTTGGTTTTTTGTGTTGCCCTTTAAATCTTTTGTTCAACTCTGATTTCTTCCCTTTGTTTTGGCGTCTCAGAGCTCTAGTGTAATACTCAGAGTCTCACATTCATTTTGGTCTGTGTAATGACCGTTTGCATTCTTCATGGATGATATTCTTGATATCTTTCCACAGTTCATCTGATCTTTGCTCATTATTATTTAAGGCCATAAACCTGTTCCTAAGATGATCTTTATATACAGGAGGGATAGACTCATGGTCAGACTTTGGGTTTTGTGGATTTTATTTTATTTCCTTTAGATTCAGTTTTAGCTTGCAGATGGGTAGTTGATGATCTATCTTTTCCACAATCAGCACTTGGTGTAATTTGAGCTAATATTGAACTTCTCCAAAGATTTTTTTTCCCCAAGATATAATCCCTCTTATTCCTGAATAGGTTATTAGGTGAGATCCATGTGTATATTCACCATTTGTGTTTCTTAGAAAATGTATTTGCAACGAATAAATCATTGATTGTACAGAATTCTATCATTCTGTCACCAGCCTCACCGAGTCCATGTTTTCCAACTACCAATCCTTTCCTGTTCCCTATTTTTGCGTTACAGTCACCTGCCATTACTAATGCCTCTTGCTTGCATGTTTGATCAATTTCTGATTACAACAGTTGGTAGAAGCTATCTATTTCCTCCTCTTTGGCTCTGGTGCATAAGTTTGAATGATAATAGTATTAACAGGTCTTTCTTATATAAGTATGGATATTATCCTGTCACTCACAATATTGCATTTCAAGATGGATCTAGAAATGGTCTTTTAAACTATGAATGTGACCCCATTTTTCCTCACCTTTTCATCTCCAGCATAGTAGATCATATGATTGTCTGATTCAAAATGTCCCTTGCCGATCCATTTCATTTCACCAATGTCTAGTATGTCAATATTTATGTGTTCCATTTCTTCCTTAACAATTTCCAATTTTCCTACATTCCTATTTCTCATATTCCATGTTGAAATATTTTAACAAATTTCCCAAAGTAATTCTTTTTTTAGAGAGTTTATGTTTGCTTTATATTTTGTATACTAGTTTATTTACAAAAGTTGAGTACATTGTTTTTGAGAACAGATTCTTCCAATTTCCCTCACTTCCCACCCATCAAATTATACAACTCCATGACTAATCTCCCAGCCCCCTGCACATCCTCATCCCTCTTTTTCCACCCTCCCCCACTCCCTTTGGATCCTTATACTCATTCTAGCGTAATGCTTTTATGCAATATTTATCCTTGTGGGTCTGAGTCAGTTAACTCAGCATAATACTCTCCAGTCCCTCCCAAGTTAGGTAATAATTTACAAAATCATTGTTCCTGCATGCTGCATAGTATTCCATTGTGTGAATGTACCATAATTTCTTAATCTATTCATTTGTAGTTGGACTTTTGGGCTCTTTCCATGTTCTTGCAATGGTGAATAATGCTGCTCTGAACATTGGTGTACAAATCTCCATTTGTGCCTCAGGTCTCATTTTCTCAGGGTATATTCCAAGTAGTGAAAGAGCTGGGTCATATGGTATTTCTGTGTTCAGCTTTTGGAGGAAGCGCCAAACTGCCTTCCAGAATGGTTGTACCATTTTACAATCCCATCAACAATGCATGAGAGTTCCTTTCTTGTCACATCCTCTCCAACATTTATTATTTGTTGCCCTGTTAAACTTTGCCACTGTTACTAGAGTGAGATGGTATCTCATTGTGGTTTTGATTTGCATCTCTCTTATTGCCAGTGGTTTGGGGCATTTCTTCATGTGTCTGTTTGCTATTTAAATATTTTTCTCTGTGAAAATTCTTTCCATCTCTTTTGCCCATTTTGTAATTAGGTTATCAATCTTTTTATTGTGGAGACCCAGGAGTATTCTATGAATTTTTGTTACAAGACTCTTGTTTGAGATGGTACAGTGACAGGCACATAGATCAATGAAACAGAATTGAGAATCCAGAAATAGACCCAACTATCTATGGTCAAGGAAATCAAAGCTATCAAATGAGGAAATGATAACCTCTTCAACAAATGGTGCTGGCAAAACTGGACTTCCACGTGCAGAAAGCTCAAACAGGATCCACATCTTACTTACACCCTACAGAAAAATCAACTCAAGGTGGATCAGACACCTCGGAGTAAAGCCCAAAACCATAAAGTTCATAAGAGACAAACCAGAATCAAACTTACAAGCACTAGTCCAAGGTAAAAAGCGACTGCCAAATACACCCAGAAATGCACCATCTGTTTTCAATTAGCAATAATCGCGCCTCAGATAAACCTCACTGGCTAAGCTAGAAATGCACAATCTGAAGAGGATAAAATTGATGAATGGGACTTTCTGAAGATTAATCCATGTGTACATCAAAACCTTTTTCCAACAGGGTAAAGAGAAATACTACCAACTGGTAACAAACATTTGGTAG